GCTCCACAGAGGGAAGTACGGATGCCCAAGTTACCAGTCCATGCGTTAGAACATACGGATTACAGTACGTGTCCAGTGCAGAATGCAATACCAATCCCGTATTTTCTTAGGCATTAGAAAGTAAGGTGAATGAAAATGCCTTACTTCAAAGTTCTAAAGCACTTCACCCAAAGTTGCATGTTCTCCTGAAAAACATGGGATGAGCCGTGAGTCTTAAGAGGAAAAGTCTTTATCCAATCAGGGCGTGGGAAAAATGAATCATTCAGGAAGCGTACGCATCTCCTGGCCAGCGTCGGGTCTCTTCCCTTCAGTGTGGCTGGCTAAGAAGTTCATACAGAGGGTTTCCTTTTGGTATCTGGTAGTTTGTGTGCGGTTCAGATGACTTCTTATGTTTCAGGTAAACTGGAGATTTTTCCTGGGCACGCTAGGAGGCTCTGGGCAGTTAAGACTCTATAAGGAGTGTGTCTCAACAGCTACTGTATTAGGCAAGACTCATCCTTTAAAGGATCTTTTGGTAGTTATTTTTACATCTGTGCTTACGTGTTCTGAATGACTGTAACCAAGAAGACCATCTCATGGATACAGTGCAGACAGAGCAGCCAGAAGGCTATTGCCAACAGATTCTCAAAAGAGCTGAACTCCTTTTTCTCTATAATGTTATCTTTTTTTTTTTTAATCCAGCATAGGTAAATCTAGTTTTCTAGTAAGACATCGTGGCAATTTCTACATGGAAGTTGGCAAAGAAGTCTTCTAGGAAATCAGGCCTTTTGTCTAACATCAGTTACAGATATAAGCCTCGGGTTGTTCCCTTTTTTCTATGTTACTACTATTTTCATTGACAAAATAGTTTAAAAGATTGATAAAAGTTCATATTTCTTCCTGCACTCTCCAGTTATGATCTGATGGTACTTTGGCTCTGATGACGATACTGGTTTAAAGTATTCCTGCCCTGTCAGTAAGAATCTACGTATCCCTGTGCTACTTCCTCAGTTCTGGTAATACAAATGTTTGTGGTTATGTCGTGAATCAAATCAGGGAACTGGTCCAGAATTTAAAAATCTTTTCTCTATCTGATCAGTTCTCAGGTTCAAGGACAGCAAACTGCTGCTGTGTTACTGTCATCAGTGGGGCAGAGTGGTAGGAGTGGGAAGAGGCGGATGGAATCGCGAGAACAGGCGTTGCCATAGAGGCAGCGTACCATGACACTGCGCCTTGGCAGGTATCTGCTGGAGGTTTTTTGGCTGGCTGTTGCCGGCCTTCATTTATTGGCATTAAAAGTTACCTAGAAAGAAACATAAGCAAAGTGTCCTAGATTGTGAATGACACTTCCTGGACATCAGAGGAATCCTTGCTATGACTTGGCTCAGCTCCCAGCCCTTTAGGCAGCTACAATTAGGTTAGAGCTTGTGAGCCATTTGATGATGTGTATCCCTCAGACAGGACTTTAGGGAAAGCTTCTCTCACCTCCTTTCTGTTCTGTTCAGTCTTTTGATCTGCTCTTGTTCTGTCCAAATCCTTGTCTTTGCACCAGCAGCTCCTGCTGTGCCCTAGTCTTCTGCACTTCCCAGCACTTGTCCTGCTCCAGTCCTGCTCTCGCCTGGACTCTGCTTCCTGGATAGTGCTTGGTGCCTTTCTGGGTTATTCTGACATTCTGATTTTCACCCTGGCTCTAGTTAAATTGAATATTGTCCTTGTCCTCATGAGGTCTTTGGTTATCAATTTTTGTCTGACTTGACCTCGGGTTTTTGAGTTTTGCTTCAAGCCATTGCCTCAGTTGGCTTTGGCTGCTAGGTACAAGGCTCCAGGACTTCATCTGGTTGAGTAGCTTATCCACATGTCCCCAAAAGAGATGTCATCACTCTGTCACATAACCTGATCTCTTGCAAGGATCAGTCTTGTCCCAGAGTGGGGCGACCTGGCTGTTGCCTTAACAGTTTTCAGAATAGGTTTGAAAACCCACAAGATATTTCTGCTGCAAATGGCTCCAACAGTTTCTTCCCAGGTAGTATTGCCTAAAAGATTTGAAGAGGACTAACACATTTTGGAGTTTCCTTGGCCAATGCCACCTGCTTTTATTATTCTGCATCAAATCACGTTTTTCCTTCGTGTTGTGGACAGCTGTTTGAAGACTGACAATGCAGCAGCACCTGAAGATTGGCAATGCCCCTGTGTATTCTGCTTAAATTGCAGGCATTTTTGCTCATTCTGTCTCGTTTCAGTAGCTCCAGAGGAGTCCATTGGTATGCCCATGGGGTGCCCTTGCTTAGGAGTTTGCTGTGCCTCTGTCACAAAGCCTAGGAGAAGTAGTCCAAGACATTGCAACTCACCCAGGAATTTCAAGAAACTTTTTGGATCTAGACATCGCAAAATTTGTTGATTGCAATCTAGGACTGAATAAGCCTTACTTTCATTGATGGGTCAGTACTTACTTCCAGACCAGCCACCTAGAAGACCAGTTTTCCCTGGGGGGGTCTCAATTCAGGGACACTTTGAAGGTGAGAGATTATTCTGAAGCTATACTGCTGTATACTTCCCACGTTCTTCTCCCTGTTATCCTCATTACTGGTGACCTCCTCAGTGACTTGCCACTGCCAGGGACCAGACTGCAGCACTATCTGACACTACCACCATTCGTACGCCCTTATTTGACACATTTCTCTTATTTGTTAGGACAAACCAGATGCCAACCATCTACCAATATTTGACAAAAGCTATTGGGGTTGACGCAGAAGACCACAGGATGTGAGGTGCTGTGGGAGCAAAAGCAGCAGCTGAAATTTGGGGAGGCAGTCAGAAAGGCAGGGAGACATCAGCCAGAAAGACTCTCAAGCCTGCTGCACAGCCTGGGAGGCCGAGGCTGGTGGTGCATCGCCTGGGGGCAGGCACC